CGACGACAAGCATTAAAAAATAGTAAACATTGTTTACATGTTCTTGTTATGTCAGCAACAATGAATGTCGATTTATTTTCACAATATTTTAATCAAGCACCGATTTTATGTCTTCAAGGACGACAATATCCTATCGATGTTTTTCATGTTCAAGAATCTCAAACAGATTATATTTATGCTTCACTGATTATCGTATTTCAGGTAAACCATTGGAAGCGTATAAAAGAATTTTCCCCATATCTTTGCTCGAAAAAAAAAACTAGAGACATGTCTACCAAATTCTTGAGATCCTGTGAACTTTTTGGGTATAGGAAAGCGGAGGGTTTCGTACAGATTGATTTCGACTAATTTTTTCAGGCCTTCTCCGGAATCAATTCTATTACATATTCGCCTTGAAATACCGTAGATATGACTCTGTTTTATCTTGTTCGAGGTTCGCTGTGGTAACCAGCTCTGCTTGGTATTTTATCTATGTTCTTTCATGATAAACAACATCATTTTCTTTCAAGCGATAGGCGAAAAAGAGCATCTTGACTGCTAATACAAGTACTTTAAACGACATCACCCAACGTAGATGTGACTGCCCGCCCTAAGATACTGAGTCTTCATTGCTGTTGGAGCAATTATTCTCGATCTGTAATAGTTGGAACTTGTTTATACGAATCACGCGATAGTATATGAACGATCAAAGAGATCAGTGAAATACACAAGTCCAGAGCCCGAAAACAGACCGAAGAAAAGTTGAGTTCATTTCGGGCTCTGACACGAGTTCCAAATTCTATCTAAAAAATAGGATCGTTGAGTCGTATGCATTTTTATTACATTGCCTGTCTTATAATTCTATGACGAAAGGCACTAGAATTCGACAGATGCAAACAGTTAACTTCTTCGATAAGATTCAAATTCGTTCATATTTATCGTATTTCAAAGGTTTGGAGAAAGGCAGAAAAATATCAACCTATCCGAAGCCCTACACTTGAATGTATCTAAACAGTTCATAGAATCTCAAGAATTTGATGGACATGTCTTTGGTTTTTTTCGACCAAAGATGTTTTCTGAGCTAACCAGTTGAAACAGAAACATTTTCCAAATCTTGATACGCTTTCGGTGGATTTACTCAAAGTGGTAAATCTCGGCAAGAAACATGTTTCATTTTTTCAAGATACATCGTTTGATACCACTCCATGAAGTTATACTCATTTTTCTTACCGATCAAGATGAAATCGACTCAACATGTAAAACAATAAAACCAATTCTTGCCAATAGTAGTTCACATAAAAATGGTACGGAACCATTATAATCATTTGTGGCTCTTCCACTCTATGCAAATATGACTACTGTCAAACAAATGCTTGTCTTCAGACAAACATCTCCAGGTAAAAAAAAGAAATGTTTATTATAAAGAAAAAGAAGAAAATCAATTCA